GGCGCCCGGGCTCCTGCGGAAGCAGCTGAGCAGCCGATGGAAGAGCCCCGTGAACCAGGGGAGCGCTACGGGCAGGGTGAGTCCGGAGGCGGGGGGGAGGTGAGGCGATGTGGTGTAAGGGTTCACGGGAGGCGGGCTCGTGGGACATCCAAGCAGCAAGGACAGCAGGCAACGGGGTATGTGGTTCTGGAAGCGCCTATCCGAGGTCTGGCCTGGAACCACGGGGATTCCAGGATCCCAGTAGTAGTTAGAGCCACAAGAAAAGCTGAGATCAAACAGGAGCGTGTACAGGTAAGATAAGAGGAGGGCATTTACAGTGGCAAAATAATATGGTTTTTGAGAACAAATGCTCTCAAACAAGAATTTACAACTAGAATCACTACAGGTGAATGTCTTGAAGAACTTCATTCATTTTCTTCTTGTAGCTGGTTGGCCTTTAATTGTTTGCAAAGATCAGGTTTATAAAAGAAAATTGGTCACTATGGAAACAGGCTGTTCAATATCAAACAGGCAATTTCACCAGGAAAGGGTAATTACTTTAGTTTTTCCTTTACTTGTATGTTTTCATGGTTTTCAATAATCACGCATCCTTTGGTCAGAAATTTTCAATCAGTTAATGACCCGGTGAGCAAGAGGAAAAACACTAGTCTATAGCTCTTTCCCCAGGTTGCTTACTATAGGGGCACACCAGACAGGAGATTTTGTGAATTTAATACTCCATTTTATCAGGTGTGCAATTCCTCTAATTTCTATAGCCAGCCTAAATCTAAATGAACAGAGTTACAAAGAAAGTGTCTCCATTTTTGTTTCTTTCATGGCTGAATCCCTTTTATTGAGAACATGTTAATTTCATGTTACTTGTCAATCATTATTCTAGGTTACAATTAAAATGTAAAGATGTATCAGAAGTAAAAATATAGAGAGAGAATTTAAAGAAATACATCACCAAAATGCTAAACAAAATTCACACAAATTCTTAAAATGTAAATTTCTTTTTATAGTTTTAAACGAAGGATACCTTTATATTTAAATAAGTGTTACTTCACTGACCTTATTCATAAAGGTTTCTATTATTGCTTCTTGGTTTGCCATATGAGCGATATACCTATGTCTCTCGATGGAAGCAATTATTTGGGTCTCTTTTTCCAGAAGTTCACACAAAGCAGCTTTCCTTTCGGCTCCGGTGAAAGTCTGGTTAATGCGTGCCAGTTCCTCTTGTCGCCAGACTAGAGGAATGACATGAAAGATGCAAGTTTTTAAAATCCCACATCTTTACAGAGCATTTTTTTTACCATCACATCCCAACAAGCAGCATTTTATTTTCATGTCAACTTAAATAAAATTATACATGAACAGAATCACTCATAATGTACATCTGATACATTTTAAAAACAGGATGAAATAGAAGCTGAGCTACTTAAAGCAAAAAAAGCAGTCAAACAGATGGAAGCTGAAGGAAATCGATACAGGTAATGTCAACATGCCTCTAGGTAAGGGTGCTTGTGGGGTCCTCCCTGTAGGCAGGTTTCAAGGTATACCTAGACCTTGCCGTAACTTCCTTTCTATTCTTGTGGCTGCACTGAAAATAAATCTTTTTTTTTTAACTGTACTATTTACTTCATCTCCTGTTCTCTTCCCAATTCCTAGTCCCCTCTTTCTAATTGACCATAAAAAATGACAGCTGCTTACTATGTGCCAGGCTCTGTCCCAAATGCTTCTTGCATATATGAATTCATTTACTCTCCTGACAAACCAGGGATTAGGTGCTACTATTATCCCCTATTTTATAGAAAAGGAAACAGGAAAAGAGAGACTGTGGACCCAAACTCTGGCAGGCTGGCTCCGTGGTCCATGGCCTCGGCTGTCTCTGCCCCTCAAAAGCATGTCACCCGTTCAAAATTGTACAGTTCTTTTCAGTGTGAACTTATTAGTTGGTTTACTCTGGAGAGCCACCTCTACTTAATTAGCCATCTAATTTTTTCCTCTTATATAAAGAAAGTTTATTATTACATTGTCAGAGTGAAGTTTCAGACTCTCATGAACTGTATTCTGGCCAATCAAACTTATTTTTCTTCCAAACTTTAAAAAACCTGGTTCACTTACCTGGTTATTATACCTGCCAAAACTCTATCACTCCTTTGCCAGTTCAAAATACTCAACCACCGCTGTGGAGCAGTTGCTATGTGAAAAGAGCTCTATAAGGCCTGACGGTGCCCACAAAAGGGAGGCAGGCATATGTGGGCCTCCCTGAAGGGGCCAGCAAGTGTCCTCGCTTTCCCCAGTTGGACAGCCTGTAAACCCTTCCACGGGGACCAAATTTCTGCCTCTCTTTCCATTTGTCTTTACCCAAAAGCCTGCTATTTTATAACATTAGGCTTAAACACTTCCTTGGTACATCTCTTTTTATTTTAAATTTAATTTTTTCTATCACCACTTATGCCCTTTATTCTCTCTTCCACTCCCACCCACCCCGTCCCTCTTTGCAATCCCTGCACTGCTGTCCATGTCCATGAGTTATCTCTTTTTCTTCTTTTTCTCTAAATCCCTCAACACCCCCTCCCACCTCCCACACCAGAGGGGCACATCTCTTCTTGACGTAGAGATTACTTCCCCTTATCTCCCAGAGATATGACTCAACCAAGTAAAATATACTCTTCCTTTGTTATATTCTAGACATGATTATTTTCTCATCATGTTACAGGGATATTACAGAATATATTACATTTATATATAATTTATATAATTAGAAATTATATTTTCCTTCTATAAAATGCCGGGTTACTTTATCGCCAGTCTGCACTGAAAGGTAAATACCTGAAGCCATAGTGCTGTTTCCGGCCCTCTGCTGTTATAACCACTGCCTTTCATGACACCTAGTTTTACAGTTTTATCAGATCATTTCTTCCTCCTCTTAAATTTCAATCTGAAATTATCCTGATCAGGTCAAGGACTTGCCAGTTATGTTCTTAATAAGAATCTACTCTGGCCCTTGGCCAGTGGGGCTCCGTTGGTTGGGCGTCGCCCTGTGCACCGAAAGGTTGCTGATTTGACTCCCAGTCAGGGCACATGCCTGGATTGCGGGCTTGATGCCCATTGGGGGCATGCAGGAGGCAACCAATCGGTGTTCACTCTCGCATCGATGTTTCTCTCTCTCTCTACCCCTTCCTCTCTCTAAAAATTTATTTTTAAAATCTTAAAAAAGAAAGAAAGAATCTATTCTGTCCCTGTAGCCACTATATGGCTTGGTTTGTCCAAGAAGAGGATTTGTAAATTTAAGAGCTAAATTATATTATACAAGTCTAGGAAATCCATGACTGATGACTTTATCACTTAAGAGCAGCAACCAAAAAGAACTTTTAAAAATTGAACAAACTCCATATGCCAAAAGGTAGTATGTGAATGAAGAGAAAAATTGAATAATTGTTTGCTTGTGGAAATAATAACTGAGAATATTTATCTAATGGTATTACCTGGATGTTCCCAGAAAGCAAATAAAAACTGAATTATATTAGTAAGCCTATTTTACTTGCTAGTTTTACATTAGAAACCTTTCAGACCAGTAATAGACTTAGGCGACTAGGATTATTTAAGTTAGTGGGCCAACCTCAAGGAGCAAGATATTGTTCCCTAGATTAGTACTTAAATCCTAGGTAAATCTGGATATATACATATGTGCTTTTGAATACATACACTCATATGTATTCAGGTTTCATATTTTGCTTAAATTATTAGTATGACTTTTAAAAAGAAAACCACCCAATAAAGCTAATTAGAAATTAAAATTATGGGCCTTAATTCCAATAAAATTTTCCAAAAGATGAGCAACTTCCCTGTAAATCTATAGTAAAGGATAGAATATAGCATCAGAAATATACCATGTCCTAGCGACTAATAAGAAATAGAGCCCAGCCAGCATGGCTCAGCAGTTGAGCATCAACCTGTGAACCAGGAGCTCAGGATTCGATTCCTGGTCAGGGCACATGCCCAGGTTGCAGGCTAGATCTCCAGTGAGGGGCACGCAGGAGGCAGCCGATCAATGACTCTCTCATCATGGATGTTTCTCTTTCTCCCTCTTTCTTCCTCTCTCTGAAATCAACAAAAACATATTTTTAAAAACTAGGAGCAGCTGTACAAAACTAATTTTATATCTCATTTGACTGTTTCCAGAACTATACATAGAAGATATTGAGGAAAACAAGAGATTCTTCCCCCTTTCATAACATATATATGTTCCCTGGGGATGATTTTAAAAAAGGAATGATATATTAGTTTGCAAGGGCGGCCATATCAAAGTACCACAGAAATGTATTTCCTCACAGTGCTGGAGGATAGAAGTTCAAGGTCAAGGTGATGGCAGGGTTAGTTTCTTCTGAGGACCCTCTCCTAGGCCTGTCGATGGCTGTCTTCCTCTGGTGTCTTTATATGATCGTCTCTCTCCATATCTGTTTCCTAATCTCTTCTTCTTATAAGAGCACCAGCCATATTGCCTTACATCCCATTCATAGGACCTCACTCCTTCCTAATTACTTCTTTAAAGTCCCAATCTCCATATACAGTCACATTCTGAGATACTGAGGATCAGAACTTCACCATATGAATTTTAGGGGAACACAAGTCAGCCCATAACAAATATCAATAACCCTCAATATTTTTAAAGAAAATTATGTTGCTTGGCTAGTGTGGCTCAGCGGTTGAGTATCAACCTGTGATCCAGGCGATCGGGGTTCAATTCCCAGTCAGGGCACATGCCTGGGTTGCGGACTCGATCCCCAGTAGGGGGCGTGCAGGAGGCAGCTGATCAACGACTCTCATCATTGATGTTTCTCTCTCTCCCTCTCCCTTCCTCTCTCTAAAATCAATAAAGACATATTTAAAAAGAAAAAAGAAAATGATATTACAGAAGTTGGTTCATTTGTAAGAATACATTATCTCCTATCCTCTGACAAATGGCCTAATTTCCAGTGTCCACAGTTCAACCATAAAATGAAAGTATAAGACTAGCATCTAAAGTCCATACACATTCTAAGATTTCTGAGATCTAAATTGCAATTTCTAAATAACAAAATAATAGAACATACAATTTTTTCCACCACTGGCAGTTGATATGCATCTTCTTTTTAAAATTTTCATCACAAAATAAATAATAAACAAATAATAATAAAATTCTCATCACAGACTGGAAGACTGAATGGTGAGAACCAAGAAAGATTCAGACTGAAAGCCCAGGGCCAGATATGTAAATGGACTGATCCAGGGAGTCTCCAGAAGTTCTAGGTACCTTGAGATCAAGAGGTAAAATTACAGTAGACTCAAAAAACACAATTAACACAAGTCAAAATGAAGCAAAGGATTAGAAGATTCAGTTCAACACATATTTACTAGACATACTGAGCAAAGTCCTATCAGATGCCATAGGTACAAAGGTGAACGATTAAGAGAGTGGTGTGTACAGATAATAACGTGGTAAGAAAAAGAGGCTCTGAGCTCTATTCATGCTGTTGGGAGAGGTTTCCTAAAGATGTTGACGCCTGTGCTGAGTCTGAGAGAAGAGTGACAATTCAGATCAATGGAAAAATAAATAAATATTTTAAAAAGACATAAAAATCAAACATTGTTGCACGAATATAGTCTTTTCTTTGATTTATTATATTATCTTATATAGTTAAATTCATTTTCTTAAGTTGATTCTATTACTAAGGGAGAGGTATCTGGAGGAAAAGGTAAACTTTCTCTTAGGTATTCTAATTCAAACTATGCAGTTGCCACTATGAGCCACAAGAGGGCAGCAGTTTAAAATACAGGAGTTAAGAATATGGACTGAAAACTGTATTATTAAAGAGAAAAGCAGTATAAATGATTGAGCTTGTGAACCAGAAATTTTAACTACAACAAAACAGACCTAAAAATTATTATTCTTAGAGCTTAAATTTAGAATTTTAAGACTAGAAAAAAATGGAGAGATGTCTCTTTTATATAAGAAATTTCATTTTCTTCCATATATATCATGTGTAGACATAAAATATATTTGTTCTACTTTAATATGGAAAATCCGTATAAAATTATTTACCACATAACAGTAACTTAGACATGCATAGGTCTTTGTATTTTTTAAAGTATTTTCATAAATGTGATATTTCATATTTTTTACTTTATAAAGTGAAGTAGATGTGTCAAAAATTATTAAGCTCTTTTATGGATGAAGAAACTGAGTCTTTGGAAAAGTAACTAACTTGTATAAGTTAATACCACTAGTAAGTAGAAAAGGTAGAACCCTCATTCAGCATATTTCCTATTATTTTGCACAGTTCCGTTAACCAAACAAAATAATAATGGCATTCTTTGGTCTATTCACATATGAATTTGGAATATTATTTGAATAGAGTTTTGCTAGAACAGAATATTAGTTTTATAATTATCAGTAAGATCTTTCACAGACACCTTGTTAACAGTACTCTATGTTTAACTACTAATAATTAGAAATAATCTTTGTTTTTATCTAACAGAGCAAATGGAAATAGAAGTAAAATTTAAAGTAAAAAAGAAAGTATTTGCACAGGTCAACATTTTGGAGAAAGAGGAAGCAGATGTACAAATCTAGGGAGCAAGCTTTACTGTTACACACTGCTACATTCCTAAAGCACTCAGTTTTGCATGTGAGATACATTTCTTAACATTGCTGGTTGGACCTAGTGTTGAACTGTATCATATTCAGTAAATAACGTATTATCATGTAGCTATTTAAATAGACCCAATATCCCACACCTAAAATTGTATTCAATTGAGAGGAAACAGTGACTTGTGTAACAGAACACATAATATCCACAAATAGTATATAAATAAAATTACAGTAAAAAACATTTACTAAAAGGTAATGTTATAAATCATAATGGCAGTCCAAGACTGTTATTTCTTGGAATTAAAACAACAACGACGAAAAAAACCCTGCTCAATAACAACAAAAACTGACACTATTTTTAATTTCTAAAATTTTTCTGTGATCACAGAGCCCAATTCTCCACTTTCCAGCATCTAAGGTAATAGGAAGACCTTCCCGTTCCAATTACTTCCACATTAGCAGATATTCCTGGGAAAACAGGAGCTAGAAATAGCTGCCTTACTACATTCCTATGTCTCCCCTTCATTCATTTATTCATTCATTCAACCAATATTTGTTGGGATGTGAGCTAAGCACAGAAAAACAGAGGTCATTTTTTTCACAAATCAGTTGTTCTCTCCCAAAGCTTACACTCAGTAGTGAAAATGTTACACAAAAGACGTAGTACTACAAATGATGGTGATATGAGTGAAAAGTTTGGAGCACAATGAGAACGTGGGATGACAATGGGATATGCAAGTTGTATCATCAGTCACAAAAGGCTTGGAGTAGATGACATTTAAGCTGAGACTGGAAGGGGGGCACTGGGACATGCTTGAAGAACAGGGTATCTACTGCTTGTTCAAGTACCTGAAGCTTCTAATTCTAAGACTAGCAAACATGGAATGAAGGAAATGAGGCAAAAAAGTCAAATGTGTAGAAAATATATACGTATATATTATCATTAATGGGAGGGAATTAAAAGGTATTGCCAAGCCCCTCATCTAAAGAGCAGGATCAGAGACAGGATGCTGGCCTGAGGACTGGAGACAGTTCAACTCTGAGTTCAAAAATTCCCAAGACTATTAAAGAACCATATTGGGCAATAATTTCTTTCTCTCTCAGGGATGAGGGTCAATGTACTAAAACTGCATGATGTACCCACTGTTAACGCAAAAGCATGTCCAGTTTCATTTCACCCGTAATTCCTGTCCCAAATGTAAAACACTATTCATCATTTTAAATTGTCTGGTCCAGATTCTCAAGGCATTTTTCCTAAGGTAATAAGTCTTCCTTTTGTCTTTAGTAGACCTGTTTTTCCTACTAATGAAAAATTTTAAAATTCACATTTTATGCAAAGCCTATTTCAAACTTACGTTCTAGCGCATTATAGAGAAGCTCAAAATCTTCCTTCGTTTTAGGGTTATGCCTCCGGTAATAGTCCAGCTTCATGCGGTCTTGTTTCTCTCTCATCTTTCCTAGTTCTTCCTGTTCTTCCCACTGCAACCTCAACATTTTTTGTCTTCTTAAATCTTCTACCACCATCTTAGCATGCCACCGTCTATAGTAAGTCTGTAACACTATTACCTGTAGTTAAATTAAAGGGAAATGAAAAGTATCTGCCATCAACTTTACCAGTCAATAACAAAAGGCAACAATGGTTTTTATTCCAATTCAGTAAGTACTAAAAAACTCCGAGTCTAGTGTTAGTTCTGTGACAGATATCATCACATACATTATAACACTGATGGCACATCAGCCATCTGACTTCGAAATCCAGCAGATACACCTTCACAGGAGGCAGACAGTACAATACACAAGAGCACAGGCTCTAGAGTAAAACTTAGTTTAACTCTTCCATCTGCAACTCGCTAGCTGTTTGGTTTTGGGCAAGCTGCTTGCCATCTCTGTGCTTTGGTTCCCTCATCTGCAGAACAGTGATAATAACAGTATGCAGACAAAGTGCTTAGTTAGCTTAAGCCTGCTACTTCTCAAGTCACCAAAAATACTATTATTGCTACATTAATTGTCTCTACTATTATTGAATAGTAATTATCTCTAGTTTATCTTTTTGTCATTAGCATAAGCTCATATTTAAAACAAAATTGTACTTCCTAAACATATAGCAGGTAGGTTTTGTGGTGGAAATCACCACAGGCAGGTTAGATAAAAGGGAGATTTAAGCGAACAAGTATTTATTAAATGGTGAGAAACATAAATATGCCTGAAGGTCCACTGTAGTACTAGATCCTCAAAACACCTGCAATGTAGTTGAGTCTCTATTTTTGTTTACTAAACTCATAAATAAAAATAAAATGTGGAGAGGCTGGATCAAGATTGAAGACAGAAAACATGTTGACGCATGTCTTCCCTCATCCTAATCCCTGATAATTAAAGATAATCGTATAAGCAGAAATAAGAAAAGACACTGGATCATACTGAAGGAGTCCTCCAAAGGAAGAGAAAGCTTGAAGAGTCCCCTCAAGAAAGGAGACATGTGGAATAAGTTGAAGGAGTCTAATCACATCCTGGACAGCAAGCTACGAAACAGAAGTGATTCTAAGGCTGCTTCAAGCCCCAAACTGGTGGATCAGTGAGCAGAAGGGCCCTTAGGCATAACTAACAAGGTGACTGCTTGAAAAATGCAAAAGGGACAGGCTCCTCTAAACTAAAGCAATTAGTTAAAGAGCAACAGAGGTATTTGCCTCTAGGCAAGAGGAGTTAGTGTCCCGAAAGGCTAGTGACACCCAGGATGAATAGAAGCGCCCTCTCCAGAAAACTAGCTTTCTCCCAGAATCAAGCCCTGCCCATCCCCTAAAGTCTCAGTGTAAGGCTGTAGTAAACAAATAGGTTATAACACATTGGACATCAGGAATCTCAAGCACTCTGAGGACACACCCAAGAAAAGCCAAACATTTGAGAAAAGCCAACAAGTTAAAAAGTGTCTCATTCAACAAAGAAGAATTTACATTTGTATGAAACAGAATTACTAGAACAGTAGGTCTCAGAGCCTGTTGGCCAGACCAGCAGCAGCATTATCTGGAAAATTGTTAGAAATGCAAATTCTCAGCCTCCCCACAACCCCCACCCCCCACTGAATCAGACACTCTGGAGTGGGGCAGGGATTCTATATCTTTACAAGTTCTCCAGGTACTTCTGAGGAATGGTTTTAGAACCATTCTGCTAGAGTATAACAAACACAACAAAACAAAAAACAAGACCAGACTAGATAAACATTTTTGGAGAGGAAGAAAAGGCTATTGAATCAATATATAAAAGAATCAAGAAAAACTGTGACAAAATTTTTATTTTTGAAATTTAAAAAATCAGTAGAACATGTTTACCTTGAGTGCTATTAAATTTGTTAAATCTTAATTAAAGACACTAAAACACAGTTGTTTAAACAACATGGAATTTTTCCCTTCTCACATCATAATCCAGACTGTCACGCAGTTTAGGGCTGGAAGGAAACTGCCATATTCAACAAATGGCTCCCCATGGTGTGTCCTGGGTGGCTGGTGCACGCTCACTCACCATCTTCTGAGTGAGTAGAAAGAGGGAGAACAAAAGACTTGCAACCCAGTCACTTAAGAGCAATATCCAGAAGTGCCACGTGTCATTTCCCCTCACCTCTCATTTTCCAGGCCTTAGTTACTGGGCTCACCCACACACAGGAGAGGTGATGGAATGTGTGAAACTCGGTCTTCAGTGTGCAGCCCAAGGCCAGCAAAGCATTACTATGGTGGGAGAGTGGACATTGGCCGAGAACCAGTAGTTTATTATAAGCTGATCTGCAGAGCACCTAAGAGAATTAGTAAGCAAGAAACTTAAGCAAGAAAATCTTTTAGGATGCAGTGTAAATGGTCATAAAAGTTAGAAAGAATGCAGAAATATTAAGAGATATGTAAGATAAATGCAATAATTAAGAGACATGTAAGATAAATGATACTGGTTCTAGACAGAATGAAGAAAGTTGATTAAAAAAATTACTCAAAATATAGTTGAAGATGGATGGACCTAGAGGGTACTGTGCTGAGTGAAACAAGTCAGACAGAGAAAGACAAATATTGTATGATTTCATTTATATGTGGAATCTAAAAACACCAAATGAATAAACAAAACGAAACAGAAACATATTCAAAGATACAGAGAACAGATGGTTTTGGGGGGCGGGGCAGACAGATGGGTATAAAGAGTGAAAAGGGAATAGTGATACAAAGTTCCAGTTATAAAATAAATAAGCCACAGGGACCTAATGTACAGCACAGGGAACATAGTAACATCATAATGACTATAGAGTGACAGATGGTTACTAGACTTACTGTGGTAATCACTTTGTAAGGTATATAACTGTGGAATCACTATGTTGTACCCCTGCAACTAATATAATATTGTAAATCAACTATGCTTTAATAAAAAATTTTAAAACAGAAGAATATTTCACAGAACTAAAGAAGGACAGAAGCTCTCAGATAGAAAGGGACCATAATCAATTCTAAAGAACATCACAAGATTACNAGAACTACAGAAGGACAGAAGCTCTCAGATAGAAAGGGACCATAATCAATTCTAAAGAACATCACAAGATTACTAAAGATAAAGTGAAAACCCTAAAAGCTCCCAGAAAGGAAATAAAGAACTGAGAATCCGATTGACATCGGACTTTTTAATCAAATAGTTTCAAAGTTACAAAGAAAAATAACTTTGAAAACAAGTGTGAATCTAACCTCTACACCCATTCAAACTAAAACCCAAGAATAATAAGGGTCATTCAATAGGATTTAAATGGTTTACCTCCCAAGCATAATTTGAAGGAATTACTACAGAATGTGTTCTAGCAAGAAGAATAAATTAAAGGGGGGGATTAAAGAAGTGAGCAAAAACTTCAAAAAAGTTATTAAGTTAAATACATCTTATTTGAAAAAATTCATATCTATTATATCAATGTAAATATATAAAAACAATCTGAAGTTATAATTATATAGTAAATTATAATTATATAATAAGTTATACATATATTTATATAAAATTATAATTCTAGACCAAACCCTCACTGGAGAGGAGGAATGAGGGAGGAGGGCAAGGAAAGAAGAAAAAAAAGGCCTGCTAAGGGCCTTGACTGTTCATGGAAAAGATATAGAGCAGGATTAAATATGCATTTGATATTAAAAAATTAGGTGTGTTAAAATTTTTTATGAGTAACAACCAGGAAAATAGAAATAAAGTATCTATTATTGAACTATAAAAGATCAAAAACATGAACAGTTTAGTCAGACCAACCGAAAGAAAGGAATGTTAGTCAAAGAATAAACAAGAATAAATAATCAGTAAAAACAAAATGAGACGGCAGGAATGAGTACAAAAATACCCACAGTCACATGTAATCGTGCCTAAAGCAAGAAAGATTTAAAATAAATACTAAGCACTGAACTAAAAAACCTCAAGAATAACATAAATATGATACAAACAGAAAAGAATCAATGAAGATAAAAATAACTAATGAAATGGAAATTTACTCCTTACACTGGCTTTTAACCAATCCCTCTGTTTGTAGCTCACATCTCACTTCCATCTCCTACAAAACCTATAATTCACATTCCAAGATTTTCATGGGGTAAATTTATTTGGTTCTTGATTCCTTTCTCCTTGAAAGGACTTTAGATTTTCACTTCCTCTACTCAAGGAAGTCAATTAACACTACTCCATCTGCTTTACAACTTGAAAAACAATTAGCTGACATTTACTTTTCTCTCTTCTCATGTGTTCTTGTTCCTATATGTTTATATTTTCTTCCTTTAACATCCGAGTCAGGGCACATGTCTGGGCTGTGGGCTCAATCCTAGTAGGGGACATGCAGAAGGCAACCCATCGATGATGCTTCTGCCTCATTGATGTTTCCCTCTATCTCTCTCCCTTCCTCTCTCTAAAAAATCAATAAAAAAAAATTTCTTTAACTGGCTTTCTGAAAAGATGTATATAAGTTTAAAAAAGAAGAAAAAAACAGGCAGTAAAAATCTCTGACAGTTCTCTTGGCAATATTTTTTTCTGACTTATCTCCTCAGTCAAGGAAAACCAAAGAAAAAATAAACAAATGGGACTACATCAAACTAAAAAGTTTTTGCAGAGCAAAGAAAACCATCAACAAAATAAAAAGACAAACTACTGAACAGAAGAAGATATTTGTCAATGATACATCCAATAAGGGGTTAATTTCCAAAATTTATAAAGAACTCATCCAACTCAACATCAAAGAAACAAACAACCCAATTTTAAAAGGGGGTAGAAGATCTGTATAGACACTTCTTCAAAGAGGACATATAGATGGCTAATAGACATGAAAAGATGCTCAATGCCGCTAATCATCAGAGAAATGCAAATTAAAACCACAATGAAATATCACCTTACACCTGTCAGAATGACTACCATCAGTAAGTCAACAAGCAACATCTGTTGATGAAGATGTGGAGAAAAGGGAATCCTAGGGCACTGTTGGTGGGAATGCAGATTGGTACAGCTACTATGGAAAATAGTATGGAGGTTCTTAAAAAAATTAAAAATGGAACTGCCTTACAACCCAGTGATTCCAC